GCTTTTTGCGCTCACGTGGCGCGACGCGCGGCTGGAGGCGTTGCCGGGGCGAAGCCGGCGTATTTGGCCGCCCTGCAGTTCGGCTGGTTGCTCAGAGGTCCTCGTTGCTCCAACCGATCCTCGTGTCGTGCCATCTCCGTTCGCGCGCTCTCTCCGTCGCCCCACTCCCCGCCCTGCGAGGTTATGTTGAGGTGCGTCTGGTTGGCCAGCCGCGGGGGCGCGAAGAAAGCCGCGCCTCGCGGCCTGGGCCGGAGAGGTGCCCTGGCTCCAGAGGCGGAGGTGCGGGGGCGGCGCCAGGGCGCGAAGAAGAGCCGCGCGCCCCCCTTCTGCGTTCCCTGTCGCACGCGCCCGCTGTCCCGCCTTGTTGTAATCATTGTTATCACCATCGTTCTATCTCTCCTCTCTCTCTCTCGATTTCGTCCTCGCCCTGCCATATGATGTGGCTTCCCCGCTCCACCAACCTCGACCAGCCCCTGCCGATCGGCGCCTGCCAGAAGCTTTTGCACCAGTGCTGAGCACCCGCAATGGGCTGTTTCGTTCGGAGCGCTGGCTACGCTACGCTGGCAAGAGAAAAGAGCAGAAGGAGCACGCTCAAGAGGAGGAGCAGAAGGGGGTAGAAGAGAAGAGGAGGACCAAAGGTGCAACAGAGCTGTTCGTGTATGGGAATCGGAGACGCAAAAGGGTACGGTGACTGGGGAGGACGAAGAGGCAAGGGCAAGTGTAGGAGGAGCCAGATATTGGACACAGAGCAAGTGTGAAGGGAGTGGGCAGTGGTGGGGGAAGGTAAAGGTGGAGCCATGGGGGGGGGCGGGATTGTAGATTATGAGGAGGATGGCGACGATGCGTATCGGGTCTGCGGTATGCGTTTGTGGTGTTGTCGCCATTATCGGGGAGCACACTGAAAATCTGTCGATTGGGTTTCGGTTTCGTCATGACATCGGTGATTCTGCTCCGACCACATGTAGGAATCAACAGCAGGAGGGGCAGGAGGGACACGAACTTGATAATCCCTGGGGAAAGTTGCAAATCGAAGTTGCTATCATCTTATGTTGATTAGCAACAGCATCAAAAACGCTGAGCATGGCACTGGTGGTCTCACCACTGCAGCTTCTGCAATCACGAGCGTGTGGCCGAGAGCTACAAGGTCAGCTTACACGAGCGCATCATCATCATCATCATCATCATCATCATCATCATCATCAGCATCATCATCATCATCGTCGTCGTCGTCATCATTATCACCATCAGCATAACATCACCTTCGCCGGAAAAAAAACTGATTGTCCCCGCCAGACCCCCGAACTTTGTTATCCCACGGAGATTATTATCGTCCGGAGTCGGTTAGCGACATGAGAATAGGGTGAAGGGTGAGTAAGACATGTGGAAGATGCGGGTAGAGAGCACCAACATAAACAAACAAGCAAACAAATAAGAGTGGCAAGCCGTAGGGAGTTCTGTCTTCTAAATCAAAGCAAACGGTAGGAGGAAGGAGGGGGAAGAACGTCACGAGAAGTTTCAGGAGGATGAAGAGGAGGAGGGGAGGAGAAGGAGGAGGAGGAGTGATAGTAGACGCAGGAGGGATACTGACAGGACAGTTCGCCCCTCGGCCCCCGAGCAGCCCCACGCGAAGGGGTGAGTAGACCTACACATACATACATACATGCATACATACATACAAACATACATACATACAAACATACATACAATAGTACGTACGTGCATGCATGCATACATACATGCATACATGCATGTATGCATGCATACAAACATACACACATACATGTATACAAACATACGCATATATACATGTACATGCATACACACATATAGATACAACCATACATGCATACATGCCTACGCACATACATGTCTACATACCTACAAACCTACATCCCTACATATAGACAGACATACATATATACACGCATCCACATACATACATACACACATACATACAGTTCATGCATACAGACCTACCTGCATGCAGACAGACGTACCTACATATTCACATGCATCCTGGCCTAACACGGCCAGTGAACTGTCTGACATCAATTCCCTGGCCCACAAATGGCAGAGACAAATCCTGCCCCCCCGTGGCCACAAACTGCAAGCGACAGATCCGCACCCCCCAGCCCAAAAGTACCATCGACATATCCTCACCACACTGGCCTGAAACTGCCAGCAAACATCCCTCACCTCCATGGCCATAAACTGGTAGTAATATCCTCGCCATCCTGGCACCCTTGGCCTAAAGTTGCCGGCGAACTATCCTCACCCCTCTGGACCAACACGAGCGAAATACCCTCACCACCCTGGCCTAAACTGCCTGCGAAATATCACACGCCCTAGCCCGACATTGGCAACGACATATCCTAGCCTCCCTGGCCCCCTGGTTAAGTGCTGCCCGCGGAATATTCTAACCCCTCCTGGCTTAGACGTGCCAGCGAACTGTCCTCACCACTCTGGCCCAAAACTGCCAGCCGAATCTCTGAACTCCCTGGCCTAAAAGTGCCAGCGACATATCCTCACCACCCTGGCTGAAAACCGCCAGCGAAACATCCCCACACCCTAGCCCCACAATAGCAAAATCTCCTCGCCCACCTGCCGCCCCCCCAGCTTAAATACTGCCAGCGGACTATTCTTACCCCCCTGGCCCATCCTAGCCTAATCTTCATCCCTTGGCCCACGACTGGCAACGGCATATCATCACCCCCTTTTGTTCCCCTTCTTGAAGGTCGCCAAGGACTTGTTCCCCCCCTCTGGCTTAGGACGCTTGCGAACTATTCTCACCACTCTGGCTCAAAAACCGCGAGCGAATTACCCTACCCCCCTGGCCTACAAGTGCTAGCGACACATCCTTACCACTAGCAGCCCTGACCATTCCGTTCAGTTCATGCAGTTATTCAGACCAGTACACCTGACAAGTATCAACTACCTGGGTGCTCTCGTAATTAATGAGGGAGGAGGATGAGGAGAAGGATGGGGAAAACGAGGAGGAGGAGGAGGAGTTCGATGAGGAATCCGACAACATGATGGCTCAAGCCCAAAGGCATTGCTCAGGGTGCTTGGGAATGTGGCGCGAGGATTTTCGCGCGCCAGCCTCGTCGTTGGCAGGATTCGATGCGATACCTTTTCCCGTTGTAAATCCGAGTGCTCTGCGTGCTGTCATTAGTTTTTCTGGCGCGGTGAGTCGCCACCACAACTGGCGGAACAAGGCCAGATGTGCCATGCAGTAGCGTCCTGCACCTTTATCCCCTGCCACTGGGCTCCCTCGCCGTGAGATCAGCAGCAGCCAGCAGGCGTCTAGGGCTAAGGCGACGGCAAAGCCGCAGCGCAAGCAGGCCGACCGTGGTCGAAATGTGCAGGCCGACGAGGAGGAGGCCGCCTGGCTCGCCATGGGCGATGCAGTGGCTGACCAGTCCGCCAACCTCCTCTAGGTCTCGTCCAGTGATCTTCTGCGTCCCGCGACGATGCATGCAAAGAAGGGTTCGCCCATGCAGCAGGCCGTCGCCACGAACGAGGACGCGCTGCAGCTCATGCATCACGTCGTTGCCGCGAAGGTGCGATACCATAAAAAACCTCGCGTCTGCCGCGGACAACATCCATCGGGCCGAGTGACTCAGGGCCTCTGTGGATTCCCTGGAGGAGCACTTGGTTTCGGCCCGCGAGCATGCCGCCTTGGCGGAGCAGGGCCTTGCGCTGATCCGCCTGCTCCTCGGGGTGCTGTTTCCATCTGGGGCGCTGCCCCGTGAGCTCCAGCAACGGATGGACGAGGGCGCAGGACGCTGGCGACCTGGGGCCCCTCGCGCAGTCGTTGCAGGTGCCGGTAGTGGCGCCGCCTTCTCAGCCCTGAAATTGACGGGCGATGCCGCCGCCCGCGGACCCCGCCGCGGCCCCTCCGGTTGGTGCCTTCGCCGCGTAGTCCCAGCCGCCCGTCGGCGCCGCCCCCGCGGCCGTGGCGGGCGCCGACGGCGCCGAGCAACCAGCAGGTCGAGAGAGCAAGACGACGTGGAGCCGGCGGACTCAGTCGGGCAGCGTGGCGCAGACGCTGCGCCGAACATCGACCTCGTTCAACGACATCGCCGCGCCGCGTTTTTCTAGGCTCTCGCCGCCATACGCGCGGCGCAGCATGATTTTCATATGATCCATGCTTCTCTCTCACACCGCTGGCGCTCCTACCCGTCCTCCCACTACATAAGTTGCACCCGAGTCTCAGCGTAGGCGGGGGCCGTCGTCCGCAATCATCGGGAACCAATGCAGACGGACGCGCCAACCGTGTGCGCGACTCCCACGAGTTGCGCCGCGCATGCCAGGAACGCCACGTGCGCCAGGTGCGTCCGGTGCCGCATGAGCCCAGACGTGCCCAGTGCGCCAAATGCGCCACGTGCTTCACATGCGCCCAGTGTACCGCGTGCTCCAAGCGCGCCAGGTACCCCACGTACGCGTCGTGCGCAGAGTGCGCCAGGTGCGCCATCGTATACATTGCACCAAAAGAGGGATTATTGGGGACACATTGGCTTTGGTCGGTCGCCGGTCCAGTGGGCGAGGAGGTGTCCCTACCAAGGAACAGTTGTAACCCTTCCCCGAAGGTGAAGAAAGATGGCGAAGTAACTGATTCGCTAAACCACCTGAGCCCAGAGTGCTGGTGGGACTGCAACTAAAGGGGATTGCGGGGCAGTGTGCTGTCCATGACCAAATACTCATGGCCGCAGGCAAGCGCCCCCATATGTGTTCTTCTGTTTATGGTGCCCGAGCGCCTTCGCATCGCGTTGTGGTGTGCGCAGCCCGCGGGATACGGTGCCAGTCAGTAACTGTCGGCTCGCTCCATTGCGTGCCTGCACGGGGTGTCCGACTACGCGCGGCGGCCACGCGCTCAGGGAGTTGTTTCAAGGTTTCATGCCAGTCGCCAGGAAGGCGGCCTCTGAGTCGACCGAGGAGAAGGTGGAGGCGGAGCAGGAGGAGGAGAAGGGAAGAGGAACACCAGAAGGTGCAGGGAGGGAGGAAAGTATGGCACGCGGACGAGGAGCAGCAGCACCGTCCGCGTCCGAGCCCCGTTGGGCTCGAGAATCCGAGGCGACCCCTTCTCCTCCCCCACCCCCCGGCGTTGTGCAGGCCTGCTGCTGGGACGGGGGAAGGGGGGCGTGTCTGTTTCTTGCTCTAATCTCTGCTCCCCCCATCGCCCCCTCCCTCCCCGATCCCCTGATGCATCCCTCCCTCCCCCTACTTCATCCTTCCCTTCTCCATACCTCTCCTTTCGTCCCACTCTCCCCTCCTCCCTCCCCCGCTTCTCCCTCCTCCAGTCCTCCCTCCTTTCCCCCTTCCCCCTTCATGCTCCTCCCTCGTCCTCCTCCTCCTCGTCTCCTCCCTCCTTTTCCCTACCATCCCCCGCGCGAGCGCAAGTGCGGGGAGGAGGGCAGATGCAGAGCAGCCACTGGCTGCGGAATATTCGTCGGCGGCTAATAAGCACGGTGTCGGTTGGATCGACGTTGCCGATAGGATGTATGATCGTGGAACGGAATGAGAGGGAGGAGGGGGGAGTGAGTACATGGGAGGCAGAGGGATGAGGAAGAAGAGGAAGAGGAGTGAAGTATGAGGATGAGGAGGAGGCCGAGAGACCAGAGTAAACCCAATATGAATCAACGATGCCGAGATGGGCCCACCCGTTCCAAGTTCCCTTGTAGCCAGAGTGCTTACAGTAAGTCCTTCTCACTGCGGGAAGGGTCCCCTTGAAAGACGAGCGCCCCAAGGCCTTGCAATTCAGACAAAGAGCTGCCACCCGTGCTTTCAGCTGGTACGGGCGGTCCACATGTTGTTGTTGTTTGCACGTCTGGTCGCAATACCCCCGATCGGACAAGGATCCGCCCTCCACTCGTGTAGCTGAAGAACAGTTCTACATGTCGGCCCAGAAAGGGTGGACATCTCAGGCGGATCATCCAATCAAGAACACTAATTTCCGCCATCCGCATAATTGTTGGAAGCTTTTTGGACGACAGTGCTCGTCATTGAGGCGGGAGTCAGTATTTGAACATGAACCGCCCTTTCATCCATGGAGCTGCTGGAAGCGTTTAAGAAGAATCTGCGCGTCGCTCTGGCGGCAGCCACATTCTGAGAACGATCATCCCTTCACCCGTTTGAGCGTCGGGAGCTGTTAACACGCATGCACGCGGCGCTGAACCGAGATACACATGCTGAAAATTGCCCTCCGTCCGTGCAACCGCTTGACACTGTTCATCAAAAGAGTCGCTGAGGCCGACGCCGCGGCATGCTGAGCGTGAGTTCCCTGTTTTGGTGTGTCTTGGGTTGCACTGGCCCCTCCTCCCTGTTCCTCGTCCTCCTGTCCCCGTCTACCCGAATCGGGACCATTGCAGGTGCTGGAGCTCACTGTGCATCCGCGGTCGTTGGCCACGGATTGAATGTGGAACTATCCATGTATGTTCGCCATCGCTTGCAGGACAGCCCGTCGATGCGGCTGGACGCCTCTGTTTCGCTCGCGTGCCCACCTACAGTAGTCGATTGGTCCCTGTGCGGCCCAATCCTCCATTCTTACCAGCATTCACTTACGACGGTGGTGAACAAAACATGTGCGCGGCCATGTTGTCGCCTCCTCTGCTTGAGCGCGGCACGTTCCCCACGGACCCACCCCTAGGAGAAAGCGCTCCCGCGGGGCGGGAAACTTGCCTTTCGCACGTTGGGGCGGCGGACGCACGCGCCGTTCGAACATCGGGCGCCCAGCAGAAGCCCCCCCATTGGCCCCCCTCATCGGCCTCCCCCCCCAACAACAAATAAGCAGGACACAGCCAGTCTATCTCGTTGTGCGCGAAGGTCGGGGAACACCTTTGGCCGATCGCTCGGAAGCGGCCGCAACGGGATCTCCCAGAGGTAGTGTCGGCATTGCCTTGACCCTCTTCCTTTTCGAACTCCTACTTCTTCTTCCTCAATATGATTATCCCTTATGTTTCTGCTCTTGATGTTTACACATTATCCTCCTACTCCCTCGTAATTATCCTCCACCCCCTCTCTCCACCCCGTGCCTTTCTTATTAAATCGCTTCGCTCATTCCGCCGGCCCGTGATATGGCATCGCTGGTTTTCGTCTGTGTGTTCGTTGCCCATGTTGCGCTCTTGGGGGCGGGTGTCGTTCGGACGCGTTGCGTGGGGAGTTTTGATGGCGAAGCAGTTCCCTGGGGGTCGTCTCTCGATGGGGCGAAATAGGGTCGTCGTCAAGATGCTTCTTTGGGGGGCCTCTTGGGGTCTGTTGAGAGGCCGTTCGGGGGCGCCTGGGAGACATGTTTGAAGCCTTCTGGGGCTTCTTTTGGGCCTCCTGGGAGTCTCCTGGGGCCTCTTGGCGACATCTTGGGGCCTCTTGGAGGCCTCTTGGGGCCTCTTTGGGACCTCCTGGGCGCCTTCTGGGACGGAGGGCTCCATTTTTGAGTTCTCGGTATCCCTCCTGAGTCCCTCTTGGGCCCGTCTTGGGGCCTCTTGGTCCGTCTTGGGCGGCACTTGGGCCGTCTTGAGGGCTCTCTTGGGTCGTTTCGGCGCCGTCTTGGGAGCTTCGTGGGCCGTCTTGGAGCGGTCTTGGGGGCCTCTTGGGCCGTCTTGGAGCGTTTGGAAGCCGAAAAAGCCAAAACACAAAAAACATAGAAAAAAAACAATGAAAATCAACGATTTTGGCCTCTTGGGGCTCTCTTCGGAGGCCTCTTGGAAGGCTCTTGGGGCGTCTTGGAGGCCTCTTGGGCTGTCTTGGGGGCCTTTTGGGCCGTCTTGGGGTCATCTTCGGCGTCTTCGAGCGCTCTTTGGGCGTCTCGGGGGCCTCTTGGGCAGTCTTGGGGGCCTCTTGGGGCACTCTGAGCGCGCTCTGGGGAGCCTGAGAGGCCGCACCCAGAAGGAAAACCATCTCTGAGTAGACTTGGTCGGGCGGCGGTCGGGCGGCGGTCGGGCGGCGGTCGGGCGTTGGTCGGGGTACTTTTCGCCGGGGGACCCCCAGGGGCCGCCCCGCGCGCGCGAACTAGAAATACTGTTAATACTGTTAATCAGTTACCGGAGATCTTAGCACGCCCTGGCCCGTTGGGCCGGCGAATTTTTGTATGAAGAGTATACACATGTAAACTTGTATTGTGTAGTACGTATATAAGATTCACAAGTTCGCCCCATCCCCCTCCCGGGGGTCCTATACCTCCTTGTGACATCTGCGTTACGTTCCCGGTACCGCGCGATCCGGTCTCCCAGGGAGCCCCTCAAACTCCCAAGGACAGCCCAAGACGACCCCGAGGAACCCCGGAACGTACAAGAATGGGCCAAGACGCTCCCAAGCAATCCAAGATAGCTTTCGGGCGGTTCTCCAGGCTCCCAGGGGGCCTCCAAGATACTTCAAGAGAACTGCATCCTCGCCCTCCCCCATCCTCCACCACCTCTCCTGGCCCAGCCGATCGGCTGCCGGGAAACCTCCGCTCGGGGAGTCGCGCCATCACGGTCACTGGCATTAGGTGTACAACGTCTGCTGACCTAGCAAAACCTGACGGTCTAGAACGGGCCAACGTTGCCCGAGTGTTGCGCCAGTCGCACGGACATGTTACAAAGTCAGTTGGTCTGTGCAATAGCGTCGTGACGCTTGCGGGTAACATTTCAAACATGTAAACTCGACGATTCACATGCGTTCGGTGCCCGCTGACGCGCCTCAAGCATGGGCCCCTGGAGCTCCTCGGGGACGTCGGGAACCCACTTAAGGTTCCACAAACAGAAGAACGGGTTTGGCATATTGTCGAAAACCGAGACAATGAAATCCAGGTGATTTTTTTCGTCCCGCCCTTGTGTTTCTGAGGTATGATGTGCCAGGGCCGTGCGGGGGCCATCCTCAATGAGCATTTCGGCTCAAAAAAATGCCGCCCAATCTTTCCTATCCCAACGCGCTGAAGGATGGGCCACGTTTCCTGGTTCCCGCGGCGGTGGCCCAGGCGGTGCGAGGTTTGCCTCACGGGGCGAGGAGGTTCCTCCCAATGGAGTCGCACGCGTTGCTGTCGCTGGCACAGGAGGCCCTCGGTCGACCCCAGATAAACTTGTCAACCCTTGCTGTGCAAAAGCCTGGGGGGGGGGGGGATCCTCTGCCCTCGCATCAATTGATGTGGCCGCGCGTTATTGAGATTATGCGTCTACCGATGGTAAAGATCATGGACGAACGTTGTTGCCGTGATGGGTGGGGGCCAGAATGAAAGAAGCGGCGTCAGCAACAAGGTCTGCGCATTGTGAGCGTATTTGATGTATTGGGCACGGCGAGCTCTGTCCCTGCGCCGGCACCCGCCCCCGCGTTAGACGAAGGCGGGTTCTCGACGAACGTTTTAGCCCCGATCTCAGTAACGAAGTGCGTGGATATCGCGACGGAGTTGCGCGCGGAGACAGCTGGAATTCTGTTTGACGAGCGCCAGGTCAGGGGCGCCGTGGCGCGCGTGATCCTTCGCGTCTTGGAGCCGCTGGTGCTGGTATCCAGAACGATCGCGAGGTGCGATCTCATGCGCGATGTGTTCGGTGCCGCCCTTTCCGTCAGGCTTCTTCGACATGGCCCGGCGTCGCTTTTCGAGGTCGATATCCCATCGCTGTCTGACGGGGGGGGGCCCTGCTCAGCTGATGCCGGGGAGGCGCGTGGCCGCCGAGAAGGAGACATTGAAGTTAGGCAAGGCGAAGGAATCTCGCGCGCGCGTCGTCGACGATGCCGGCGCGACGCAGCCCGCGAATGACTGGGCGCCGAGAGATGAGAAGCCGCGCGCCACATGTGTTATTTCGACAGCAACGCTGAGATTCGCACTGGATAGCATTGCGCGTTTCAAGAACGCGCCACTGGCAACTTTGAAGCAGAGATGCGGATGCGGGAGGCGCGCGGGCATCGGCAATAATATGACGCATTCGATCGGCTGGTATCTAGGTGCGCGTTGGGCAAGCGCGCCGCGCTGCGCGATGACGTCTTGGATTCCGTCCCCAGAGATCAGACCCCCCAGCCCAGCGGGTCGCCCCACGTCGGCTTCGCGTTCGCGAGCGACGAGTTCCCGCCCGCGGGGTCGAGATTTGCAGGGTTCCGCTTCCAAATATCCCAACTACATTTGAGAGTTCCCGTGGCAGTCTATT